TAACGCTTCATCAAAGCAACAAATAAAAACAATGCATAAATCAAGGATTTTATGGCTCTGAAGGGTTTTCGCGCATTTTACTGCCACATTAGTGATCGTATTACATAAACACATTTGCATATGATTCATCAAAGCAAGAAATCGCTCGCCGATAGTTAATTAGACACTGTGGCTAACTTTAGTGAGACATTCTTTCATAGTGCTTAAAGAGAGAAAAGCTGCTATCGTTGCAGGCAACAGAGAATATATCTCGAGGAATTGGAATGTGCATCGACTAAGTCCAAACGTATACAACGTAGATAAATTTTTGAGATTTTGATGAGATTTCAAAGGAAAAATTCAAAGAAATGATTGAATCTCTTTACGAGAGTGCAACACAAAATATGGTGAACAAAAGAGACTGACCATCCGTTGACGTGATGATGAAAATTCGAATCGATATAGCCGGACGACAACAGAGCTGTGGTCTTCTTAATATCACCAGCACTACACGCCTCCAGAAAATCCATCTGAACTTGAACGTACCCACCACCGTCCATCGTTGCGTTCTTGTTGCAGATACTGGTGCCCTACAGCCTAACACCACCAAGCAGCTGCAATGCACAAACATTCTCAAATCTTGATTTGTTTGCATCATGATCACAGAAATACAGAAAAATTTGCACAATGAATACAAAAACAACTATATTAATATAGACGAAAATTATCGATAAATAATATAGAATATATGGAATAAAATTTTACATAGAAAAATAATATAGAATAAAATTTTAAAAAATAATAATATAGACGCGTGAATTTCAGTTCTTATTAACAAGCCAGAAACTTTAGTAGGTGATTGCACACGATGAAAAATATGCGAAGTCGATCTCATCTAGAAAAGGGAGAAAGCTTTAGATCAAATGCACCCTCTGGACAGCACAACAACTAAACAGCAAAAGTACCAACAAGTACTAAAGCATTACTGAGGTGAAGTTGGGGATATATTAAAACTGTTTGTAAACAGAACGGATAAACAAATAGCGCTTAGAGATCTTCTTCGACGCCTTTTGATGGAGTTCACCAGGAAC